ACAAATCACTGCTCTACCCTGGGAGGCCTAGCAGAAACTCCTTGGAGAGTTTCCCTGAGAAAGGCTCTGCTATTCAACCAAAGTATTAAGTTTCTCTGAAAAGACTTTGGTTCCAAGTGACAAATAGGCTCTCAGTGCCTGCTAACCCATCCCAGGGAGGGAAATTCATCCCATGCACCAAGGTCCTGTAAGCCCTTTCCTGGTGAGACCCTTTGCAGAGTGGAACTGCAAAAAAGCAGCGCTGCTCTGCTCAGTGATGGCCAATCAGGTTCTTTCCCCTAAGCCTCCAACCCATAGACTAGGAGTCCCACAGGCAGGCAAGAGGTGGGTAAGACGGAACTGGGTAAGACAGAACAAGGCAGGGAAGGCTCCCTCAACTCAGGCTTGCTTTGTTTCCTGAGGGAGGTAAATTTCCTTTTGCTACCCAGGGAAGGGTCTCACTCCTAGATACTGCCTTCCAGCTCCCTTGCTTCTCTCACCAGAAGTTTTTTTGGAAATATCAACTGCCTTCTCCCATATTCATTTTTAATTCTTAAAAAATGCATTCAATCGGCCAGGTGCCGTGGCTCATGCCTGTAATCCTAGCACTTTGGGAAGCCAAGGTAGGTGGATCACCTGAGGTCAGGAGTTTGAGACCTACCTGGCCAACATGGTGAAACTCTGTCTCTACTAAAAATACAAAAATTAGCCAGGCATGGTAGCAGGTGCCTATAATCTCAGCTACTCAGGAGGCTGAGGCAGGAGAATCTCTTGAACCCAGGAGGCAGAGGTTGCAGTGAGCTGAGATAGCACCATTGAACTCCAGCCTGGGGGACAAGAGTAAGACTTAGTCTCAAAAAAAAAAAAATGCATTCATTCATTGATTCCAAATATTTAACAAAGCCTTAATATGTGCAGCTGTTTTTTTTAGGTGCTGAATTCCTGATGTCATGGAGCTTATAGTCTAGACAGACAACAGAAAACCAAATAAATGTCTAGCAAAAAAGTCAGGTGCCTTGAAGGAAAACAAACAGTGTTAGAAGCTAGCAGAGACTTGAAGAATAAGGAGGAGCAGCCATGGGCAGTTCTGGGAGAAGAGTATTCCAGGCTGCAGGAGAACAGGTGAACAGGGAGTCTCTGAGGTGGGAGGTGGCTGGGAGTGAGGCTGTAGCAGGAGGGAGGAGGCCAGTGGACATGAGACAGCAGGCAGGGGAGGGATGAAGGACCGGCAATGGGGAGGCAGCCATGGACCTGGCTATGAGGGGGAGGCAGCCATGGACCTGGCTATGAGAGGCCTTAGAGACCACAGTGAGACCCCAGGCTGTGTCCTGAAGGTGACAGAAAGCTGCCGGAGGTGAGTAAGAGCAATGGCATGATCGCTCTGGTTGCCTGCGGAGAACATACTGGAAGGAGCGAGAGAGGAAGAGACCAAAAGGAGGCTCTTGTAGTGGTCCAGGCAAGAAGCAATTGTGGTATGGACCTGCCTGGGATTAGAAAAGGAGAAGAGAAATTGTTTGAATCAGGGCAGGCTAGGAAGGTAGAACTGACGGGATCTGCAGAGAAGAGATGTGAATTACGGGAGCAAGAGAGGAGTCAGGAAAAATTCCAAGCTAGTAGGCCTTAAAACGGGGATGAGCGGTATCTTCCCAAGAGAGACAGAGTAGCCTGAACGCAAGGATGGGTGGTGGTTCTCCCAACAGAGATGGGGAAGACACCCCGGGAAGCACAGAGGAAGGGGAGGAAAATAGGCCTTTGCATTAAAATGTATCAGTTCCCACTGTTAAGGAAATTGTGGCTATTAGAATTCTGCCACTCGGAAATATATTCATAACATAATACTGTTCCCATTGGGAACAAACAAGTGAAGAACAGAGAAGACTATATGCTAGACCCAGCATACTTATACAAGGTCATGAGACGCAAAGAAGACCAGAAAGAGAGAGACCAACAGAGAGCAATGAGATCAGGTCTGTAACATAAGATCTGACCTGAAAGACAAACCAGCTGTGTGGACAAGTTACTTCACTTTCCGGTGCCTTGGTTTTCTCATCTGCAAAATGGGGCTAATTATAATAGTAGCTACCTCACAGAGGTAGATGAGTTAAAATTTGCAAAGTTCTTAGAACAATGCCTGATACTCGATAAGGGTTATAGAAATGTTTTTTTTTTAATTTAATGAATAAAGGTTTTTCCTAAAGAATGGGAAGAAATGAAAAAGGGAATAGCTGATTGGATCCTACATATTAAATGAAAATAAATTAACATTTAAATACACTTTTGGGTGGTAAATAAAATGGTGACATAGATTATGCTCCTGTATTTCAGAAGTCACAAAGATAACTATTAAGACACTCCTTTTAAATACACTATGTGATAGCTTAATAACCTAATGGATAACAGGCCTATAAATCATGTAGTTGGAAACCAAAGCTTATATCCATGGTATCTCCCAGTAACTTCACAGAGAGAATTTCTCCAGAGTCCTTCTGTGGATTACTGCAAATCCTCAAGGCTTTGCTTTCTTTCCTCCTGTGTACGCCTTGGTGGAAGTGCTGATAAAAATGGAATGTTTAAGAGGTGAAAAGTGGGCCAGGCACGGTGGCTCACGCCTGTAATCCCAGCACTTTGGGAGGCCGAGGCAGGTGGATCACGAGGTCAAGAGATCGAGACCATCCTGGTCAACATGGTGAAACCCCGTCTCTACTAAAACTACAAAAAATTAGCTGGGCATGGTGGTGTGTGCCTGTAATCCCAGCTACTCAGGAGGCTGAGGCAGGAGAATTGCCTGAACCCAGGAGGCGGAGGTTGCGGTGAGCTGAGATCGTGCCATTGCGCTCCAGCCTGGGTAACCAGAGCGAAACTCCATCTCAAAAAAAAAAAAAAAGAGGTGAAAAGTGGAAAGGAAGCAGAAATTAATGGTCCCAGGGAGTGATATTCTAGTCCCCTTCAATCTCTGACCAGTTGTTCTGAGTAACCTCAGTGCTGGGGGCTGCCTTACCCAGGCGTTAGTGCACCACCACCAACACACTCGTGTACTCCAGAGGTAACACAAGATCACCGCCACCAAGTGCACATCTTGTTCCTTAGACAGAATGTAATGATGAAAAGGGTAAGGTTCCACAGGGCCTTGCTAAAAGTGGTGTAAAGGTAAAGGGAGTTTTCATTAGAAAAAATATTTCAGCTTATGTTTTGGACAGATAACCAGCAGCAGTGTGGAGGTGAGAGTTACGGAGAGGAGTTAAAAAGCTATACCTATCATCCAAGCCTGCCCACGATGACCTGAACTAAATCCTCAGCCATAGGAAAACAGAGAGCAACATCAATTCTACTGACTTGATAGAGGTAGACCCAACAGAGCTTGGCAACTGTTTGGATACGGGTGTGAGGTTTCCAAGTTAGGATGCTGGGGGAATAGCAAAGACGTGAACAGAGGTTCAGAACAGAGATATGGTTCAGAGATGGTAGTTAATGATTTAGAGGTCCATGTGGCATCTCCACATTCTCAAGGAAAGCTCAGGGAACATACATGATGCCTACCTCAAGCTCCATAAGGAAATTCAAGCCAAAGATATCAAGTGGCTTAGCCAAAGCCACCATACCAATTATCATCACAGATGGAAAAAAAATCTGTGGTTCCAACTCCAAACACAGTGAGCTTTCCACTCTAGCATGCCGACTCCATGCTCTGCTCTCCTCTAGGTCACTGTGAACAGTCAGTCATTTGATCATGACTTTGATCATGCAATCCTATTAGTAAAAAAAAAAAAAAATGGAAAAATGGAAAACATGCTATGTGCAAATTACATAATATTCTACTGTGCTAACACATTAATTACATCCCAAAACTTTAAAAGAACTATAAGTTTAAAAGTTGAGATTACATATATATTTTTTTATCTCGACGGATCATCTGGTGCAACCTTGGAGTTGATGCCCCTGCCTCCCTTAGAAGACCACAGCACAGGATGCTGTCCCAGGCAGCCAGTGGAAACAGTGTGGAATCAGCCATCACCTGCATCACCACTGAACAGCTTTGTGGTTACACTCTTTCTATTTCCACTGTCACAAATACCACTAACTTAGTGGCTTAAAACAATAAATTTATTATCTTACAATGTCCATGGATCAGGAGTCCAGGCACAACGTTGCTTAGATGATCTTCTGGTAAGAGTCTTAGAGTGCTGAAATCAAGCTGTCAGCAGGGGTGGATTCCTTTCTAGAGGTTCTAGGAGAGAATATGCTTCTAGGTTCATCTGGTGGTTGGCAGAATTCAGAGGTTGTTCTTAGCTTCTAGAAGCCATATTATCTGATTTGTGGCCCCTTTATCTTCAAAGCTAGCGGCAGTAGGTTGAGTCCATCCCACACCTTCAATCTTTCTGACTTATCCTTCTGCTTCATCCCACCAATGGTCACATCATTTCTCTAAGTCTTAACTTCTTCAGTAGCAAATGGAAAAAATAAACATTTACCTCAGATGACTGGTTTAAGGATTACATGGAGTAAGTGATATGAAATTATTTGAATATTCTAAAGCAATAGATGTGGGGAAGGTGGGAATTGGGAGAAATTAAAAAATAAAAGGAAGGACAAGAGATTTCTCTTCGCTTAAGATGACCAGTATGATTCTCAGAATAGGTTGAGTGTCAACAGAACACTAAAATTAAGAGAGATATTGCCTATAAAAGCACTTTGTGAATGCTACAGTGGCATATAAATGCTGAGAATTTTTATAAAATATTATGTGCCATATTAAACACAAATTAACCTTAAGGCTTTTGTGTGCGTGTGAAACAGGGTCTTACTCTGTTGCCCAGGCTGCAGTGCAGTGGCATGATCACGGCTCACTGCAGCCTCAATCTCTCAGGCTCAAGCAAATAGTCCCACCTCAGTGTCTTGAGTAGCTGGAACTACAGGCATGAACTACCACATCTGGCTGATTTTCTTTTTTAATTTTTAGTAGAGACAATGTTTCACTATGTTGCCCAGGCTGGTCTCGAACTCCTGAGCTCAAGAAATCCTACCCACTTTGGCCTCCCAAAATGTGGCATTACAGGTGCGAGCCACTGCACCTGGCCAACGTTAAGGCTTTTTGAGATTTAGTCTGTATTCACAAAAGACTCATAATTTAAAATATTTATAAGTAATAATGGAATGTAAGGTAGCACAGTACCATAGATGTACAAATACCATTTGATGACAATGATTATGCCCTGGGATGTAGAGATATTATTACGGGGCCTGAAGTAGTCAGGGTTCTCCAGAGAAGCAGAATCAATAGGATATATGTAGATTTATAGAAAGAGATTTATTATGAGGGAATGGCTCACAGGATGATGGAGATAGAGAAGTCCCAGGATCTGCTGTCTGCAATCTGGAGAACCAGAAATGCCAGTAGTGTAATTCCAAGCCCAAAGGCCTGAGCACCAGGGGAGCCAATGGTGAAACTCACAGTGTCCACGCCCAAAGGCCCGAAAACCAGGATGTCTAAGAGCAGGAGAAGATGGCAAGATGGCTGTCCCAGCTCAGGCAGAGAGTAAATTTCCCCCTTCCTCTGCCTTTTTTTTTTTTCCACTGTGTCACCCAGGCTGAAATGCAGTGAGGCGATCTCGGCTCACTGAAACATCAGCCTCCTGGGTTCAAGCGATTCTCCTGCCTCAGCCTCCCAAGTAGCTGGGACTACAAGCACATGTCACCATGCCCGGCTAATTTTTTTTGTATTTTTAGTGGAGATGAGGTTTCACCATATTAGCCAGGATGGTCTCGATCTCCTGACCTCGTGATCTACCCGCCTCAGCCTCCCAAAGTGCTAATATTACATGTGTGAGCCACCGTACCTGGTTTCATCTCCCTTTTCTATTTCTATTGGGGCCTTCAACAGATTGGAGGATGCCTGCCCACAATGGTGAGGGTGATCTGTACTCAGTCTAGCAGTGCAAATACTAATGTCTTCCAGAGATACCCTCTCAAACACACCCAGAAATAAAGTTTTACCTGAAATCTGAGTATTCCTTTGCACAGTCAAGTTGACACATAAAATTACCCATCACAGGATCAGTTACTTAACTTCATTCCTCATCTGTAAAATGGGAATAATAATGGCACCTATCTTAGAATTACTGTGAGGATTAAATAAGAGACATGTGGAATACTCAGAACAATGCCAGGCTGATAAGTATTATCTATTATTTTCTCACTGAATTGAGAAGAATGATGTTATGATCATAAGGTCAAAAATATGACAACAAAGCATCAAATTCTAGCTCACAGTCCTTCTTAAGACAAGGAAAAGACTCATACCTCCCAAAAGCTAATATGCAAGAGAATAAATAAGAATAAAAATATATCTTTCAGGTCAGAGTAACAAGTAGATATTTTATCCCTTATGTCCTCTAGCCTGATTCTGTCTTTTTATAGCTTGCGGGACACAGAGCCATAATTTAGCTAAAAGCAAGGGTTATGTGAATTTGCAGCTTCAGCAACTAGCAGTTCTAGAAGATGCTTCCAGCAGGTGCACCCTCATCCTGAGAAGATTTAGTCGGGGCATGGTTGCCTAGATTGCTGACACCTGGTGTTTTTTACAGCAAATTCTCAACTAAGAGTAATGCCAAAAGAGAAGAGTGGGTTTAGGCAAATGCATTGCACTGGGCACGCATAGACCCCACATTTTCCAGCTGCACTCCACACATTCAGGTAGGAGCCACACCACTGCAACTCCATCCAGTCCTCGGGGTGCATATAAGTTCAAGAAGCTCTGATTGTATATGCCCCCCGAGAGACCTGTTGAGGAACTAAAAGAAAGTGAAAAGAGAGATTTAAAATATCAAATGCCTCACTACTTTTTGTGTTACTGTTTAATGGATGTAATTTAAAATGAAAATCAAAGGACTTTTCCCTTCGCTATGACAGGCTCTGGAGGAATTCTTAAGTAGAAAACATGAAGTAAACCCAAGTAAGAGTCTAAGAGAAAAAAAAATATATAAAGAAGACGCCAAACAGAAGTTTGGTGAAAAAAGAAAAACTGTAAAGGAACAACAATGAGATTTTATAGAATGACTGTAATTGAGAGAAGAAAGGCAATTTGAAAAACTTTGGTTATTTCTTCATACAGCAAATATTTATTAAACATGTACTATGTGTCAAGCATTATGCTAGGAGTCCTCAAAGAGTTCCCCTAGTGGAGGAGACAGAAAACAGGCAATTATAGAACAGAATGGGAAATTTTGTGACAAGGGTAAGTAAAAACAGGATGATGTGGCAAGGATCAGGGGTGGAAGAACATTGTCAAACCCATTTTATGTTGCTATAACAGAGTGACACCAGCTGGGTAATTGATAATGAATAGAAATGTATTGACTCACAGTTCTGGAGCTGTGAAGTCCAAAATTAAGGGGCTGGCATCTGATGGGGACCTTCTGTTGCTTCATCCCATGGCAGAAGGTAAAAGAGGAAGAGAGAGCAGGAGATCAAACTCCCAGCCTCAAGCCCTTTTATAATCAGCGTTAATTTATTCCTGAAGGCAGAGCCCTCATGGCCTACACACCTCCCATTAGACCCCACATCCCAACAGTGTTGCAGGGGGATTCCATGTTCAGCGCATGGTTTTGGGAGCACACATTCAAACCATGGCAGGCACATAGCTCTGTGGACTCAGAGAAGCAAGAAGATTAACTCAAAAAAGCAAAGGACGGTAAATGGAAAAGGGAGATAGGTACAGCTGTGCCTTCTAGACCAGGTGCAGCCTTTCCTTGCTGCTGGGACCTGGAACAAGTCACTCCTCTTCGTTCTCCCATACTTCAAAGAAGGTTCTTCAGCTACGTGATTAGCATGGGAACACTGTGAACCCTATGAGCAGACAGTCATCCTTGACTCCCCTCATTCTTCATACTTCACCTTCAATCCAACAGAAATGCTTATTGGTGCTACATTTAAAATACATATCCAGGGTCTGTCCTCTATCCCTTCCTCTATACATCACTATCACCATGGTGTGGCCTGAGCCAACATCACCTCTCATCTGGATCCCTACAATGGCCTCCTAACAAGTCTGCATCTGTACTCCACTCTCAAGAGCAACTAGAATAAGCCTATTCTCTTGAGCATGGTGTCGATCTGTTCAGACTACAATGGCTCCTCACTGCACTTGGGCTAAACAAACCATGCATGATCTCTCCCCCATCCTCACCTCATGTTCTGTCCCTAAATGCACACACTCCTTCCTACTCTCTAGCACACTGGAGAATTAGAATAAGAAAGCAAGCAGATCACGGGATCTGCTGATAGGACTCCTCAACTCTCCCTCTTCCACCCAGCTCACTCACTGTACAACTTGAGAAACAAGATGGGAAACAGGCCAAGGCCCTAGCAAAGCCTGCACATCAGACAGCATGGTAGAATGGAGATGGTACTACACAGGATGTCTGAAACAGGATTCCCATGTGGATTTTGCCACTATTATGTGATCTGAGCCTCGGTTGTCTTTTTTATAAGAATAATGGTAAGGTTAGACCAAGAGGCAAACCTCTGCACTCAGGCCAAATCCCTACCATTTCCTGGTTTTGTAAATAAAATTTTGTTAGAACACAATCATGTCTACTCATTTACATATTGTTTACAACTGCTTAAGTGCTCCAGCAGCAGAGCTGGGAAGTGGTGATAGAGCCCCCTATGGTTCACAAAGCCTAAAATATTTACCATCTGGCCCTTTACAGAAAAAGTTTGCCAACCTCTGGGCTAGAGCACAGGACTATAAGAGAAAAAAAAAAATAGAGACTGTGTTTTGTTCACACCATGTCACCAGCACTTAGAACTGTGCCCAGCACATAGTAGGTATTCAATAAGTATTTGAATAATTCAGAAGTTTTCAAGCTGCTTTGCTGGGTCCTTAAGTAGGTCAAATAATAATAGCACTAGCTGATAGAAAGCACCACATCCAAAACATTATTCGAAGCTAACTTATATCAAGTCCTTCCTTTAATGCTCAGGAAAACCCTATGACGTAGCTTCTATTATTATAATCACCAACATAAGATGGATAAATTGATTCACAAGGAGGTTAAATGACTTGCCTAGTTCCATAAGGAGAAAAAACTCGGGACCAGAACCCAATCAGCCTGACACCACAGTTTAGTCTTTTAACCACTGCACCACACTGCCAGTCAACTGACCAGAGACTAAAGTGGCTACTATTTTATCTGTTTCATCTCTTGACCTCTACATACACCTGTAAAGAAGAGATATGTGGATTTTCAAAAGTTTGAAAACGACTGAACTCAATCTAATTAAGTCATTTTCTACTTTTACATTCTAAAATCTCCTTCTAACAAGAACTACTCTAAGGAAAAAACTTAATGAAATTACAACCTGCGTCCCTGATCTTCCCTCTTCTCTTCACATCCCAAAAGACAACCTTGCAGGGGTCCACTACAGGAGACTCGCCCCCAGCTGCAGGAAAGGAAAAAGCTAATTGCTTCTGAAAGAGTAGCTCAAAAAAATCAATTGCAACTTTTATGTCCATTACACTTTCCAAAAAATATAGAAAGAAACAGAATCAAAGGGATTCAAAATCTAATTTAACTTTTAATTGTTTCACTTTTTGCAAAAGCTTAGAGGATGAGCTGGAAAGGTCACAGCACATGCAGAATCCCAAAAATCAGCTCTGCAATTCCAAGGCTGCTGGTCTCAGCCCAAATTGCTCTTATTCTTCAGCATGTGAGCACATGCTTTCCAACACACAGACATCAATAAGTCAGACCAAGGATAATCTCTAGGTCATCAATTAAACACTGTGTACAGGCATGCACACGATATCATCATACATAGCATACGGAGCCATAAACACTATGTGGAACCAGCAACTATAAATTATGAGTGTATAATTCCCTTGAGCTTCATAAACCATAAAAATGAAGCTCAAGTGGTTTGTGTAGTCATTTGAATCCCAGAAGGAAATACAGCACCGCGTTTCAAAAGTTGCTTATTGTTTATTTTTATATAATGAATGGATCCTACTTCTCAATTCACGTGTGCCCTCCTCCCACTGGGGCCATCCATCCACACACTGACTTGCCCTGTCAGCCATCCCCTCCCAGCCTGACTCCCCACAAAGGCCTCCCCTCTTCACAGAAAACGTCCATCCATGGCAGGACAGAAACAGCAGTCTGATGGGAGTTTTGGTCTGCTTGTCATCTCATTAGCAAATTTTAATAATTCACAAGAGCAATATAATTCTTGTGAATAATCAATAGTTCTTTTGCATGGAATGCAGCATATTTAACATTCCATGTATTATGACACACAGACTTGGAAAAACAATAAGAATTGAGCACTGATTTCTTTGTTAAAGGATTATTTTAAATCATTTCTTTCCATTTCCCTGTCCTCAAAGTCCTTAAGTCTCCATTCAGAAGTATGCTGTCCTTTCCCTGAACTCTATACATTCATCCACTTATTAACCTAACTACGAGAAATCAGATATTTAATGATCATTGGCTATGTGCTTAGAAATGTGCAGCAATCAGAAGGAAGTTTTCTTCTCTCAAGAGTGTGTGATCTAGTAGAAGAAATAAAATGAAATAAAGATACTCGGCAGGGGCAAGAGCGTGGGAACTGGAGTCTGGTGAAGCAAGGGTACGTTTGAACTCTGCTGTTTCTCAACTGTGTGGTATCAGACAAGACACTTAGTTTCTCTGATAATAATTTTCTCATCTGAATAAATAAAAATGGTAATATTTGTCTTCCTGGGTTGCCATGAGAGTTGATGAAACGTGCCTCTTACAACCCATGTGTTTTTGGGCACATTGCACAGCTGCCCAGTGCCTCCATTTTATCCTCTGGGGATAAGTGTTCATTTCATGAAGTCATTCTCAGGATTAGTCGTGTTACTACATGTAAGGCCTTCAGAACAGTGCCTAGTACATAGTAAGCACTCATTAAGTGTTAGTGGCTATGGTTGTTGCTATACATGAAGTGCCTATTCTATACCACTTAGTAGGTGTTCAATAGCATTATAAAATGATATCA